ATTCTTAAAAAGTACTTTAAACTGTATAAATACAATTGAAAGCGATTGACCAATCAGAAGAAAGTTATCCTATATGAATCAATCCTAATCATAACAGAGTTTTCCGAAGGTGTCACGTGCTCAAAAGGTCGATTCTACGCCCTGTCTATCTGTTTAATTTTAAGCAGCTACAGTTGTATTGAAAAACATGAACGAACTAATAAACAAAATTTTAATAAAGAACGGGTTCACTTGTTATTATGATACTTATACGTTTCTATAAATTGAGATCGGTGAGTGGATTTAAAGTGTTTAAAGAATGAAAGGTACGTACGTACGTACGTACAAAATAATAGTAGCTGATAGCAGATAGAGATTCAGGACTGGGACCGATAGACCATGTGATTATCGCAGGAACCGGTCTTAATATGATTGAATAATCAGTAAGGTGAAACAATCGATAAATTTAGAGAATTATATTAAAAAATTTTAGTAATCTTGGATTTATGGTATGTGGGTGAGGACGCTTCTAATAAAGTAACGGTCGAGAGTTCGATAACGGTTACGGTCAGATTTGGGGTGTGACTGGTAACGGTCGATACCAACTCGATAACAGTTATGATTGGATGTTTAAATCCTGCCAGAAATCCATCACGGATTTTTTTTTTTGCGGAAAACTACGGGCACAACATATAGACACAATATCGGCCTGAGTTAGGGTTAGAGTTACGTTAGGGTAAGAGTATTTTAGTAATTCCGGTCATTGTTGTGCCCATAAGCACAAAAGCACGTGAAATTTTGTGCCCGTAGCAATCTCCTTTTTTTTTTTATAGCAGCTGTCCGCAGACACGCGATGCATTTAGGGAAGGCAATTTTAAGGTTAGACCCGGGGTTTACAAACTTAGCGTGGACACCCATGTATAAATAATTTTTTTAGAGTACAAAATCATGTGATACATACAATTGGGTTTACGATAAATGTGTAAACCCCGGGTCTATTCCAGGGAAAGTCTCCGGACGCAAAAGTTTCATTTTTGATAGATCTGCAGTTACTTTTTGACCCTAAATTTAGGTAGTGTTCTTGATGCATCATATCCTATAGAATTTAAATTTTTTTAAGAATATGAGCAAAGATATTCAGATAGTTGCCCAACTTAATTCAATAAATTTTTTTTTATTTTGATTCGACTATTCTGTAGAATCAAAATAAAAAAATTCATCGAATTTGGCTGAGATATCTTCAGTCAAAGCATTAAAACATCTATCAAAATAATGATCGCGGTAAAATTTTTATAAAACTTTGAGTGAAGATATCTTAGTAATTACCTAATTAAATTCGATGCAGTTTTTTTATTTTGGTTTTACAGTTCTGTAGAATCAAAATAAAAAATAAAAATCATCAAATTTGGTTGGGTGGTTGTTGAGATATCATCGTTCAAAGTTTTGAAAACATTAAAACGTCTATCAAAATTATGGTCATGGCAAAAATTTGAATGAAGTATCTTAGTAACTACCTAATCAAATTCGATAAAGTTTTTTTTATTTTGGTTCTACAGTTCTGTAGAATCAAAATAAAAACAAAATTCATTGAATTTGGCTAGGTGGTTGTTGAGATATTATTGCTCAAAGTTTTGAAAACATTAAAACGTCTACAGTATCAAAATGATGGTTGCGGCATAAAAATTGTGTGAAGATATCTTAGTAACCACCGAATCAAATTCGATGAAGTTTTTTTATTTTGATTCTACGGTTTTGTAAAAAAAAAATTCATTGAATTTGGCTAGGTGGTTGTTGAGATATCTTCGCTCAAAGTTTTGAAAACAATCAAAATGATTGTCGCGGAAAATTTTTTTAAAACTTTAAGCGAAGTTATCTCAGCAACCTCCCAGCCAAATTCGATGAAATTTTTTTTATTTTGATTCTACAGAATAGTTGAATCAGAATAAAAAAATTTTATTAATTAAGTTGGGCGACCATCTAGATATCTTTACTCAAATTCTTGAAAAAATTTAAATTCTGCATCAAAAACTACCTAAATTTAGGGTATGATCTGCGCATATCAAAAAGTAACCGATCTATCAAAAATGAAACTTTTGCCGGACACTTACCCTTCACGTGATTTTTGTACTTACCGGAGTCACGTGGCCATCCTGTCAATGCACTTACGGTAGGGATTGGCATTAAGATAATTCCGGCCCACGACCAACATAATCCTGCCCGGAATTATGGAGCAATTTTTAAACGGTTAAACGGTTCCAATCCCTAACTTACGGTACGTACGTACGTACTGTACGTACGGGTGTATATCAAATTTTATAAAATTAAATTTTCTGAAAACTTAAATAATGATACCCAATAAATACCAGAGCAAGTTTGACAAAATTAAATTTTTTAAAATTTCTAAAAAAAAAGTTCATCGAATTGCTTAGTAATTGTCGAGATACTTCATATTCGATCGAAGAGATCTCGACAGCAACCTAAGTAATTTCGATAACTTTTTTTTAATTTAATTCTAGAGATCTCTAGAATTAAATTAAATATAAAAAAAATCAAATTAAATTGGGCAATTGTCGCGATATCTTCATTAAACAAATGAAGATAACTCAACAACTGCTTATGCAAATTCGAAGAATTTTCTTATTTTAATTCTAAAAAATCTCTAGAATTAAATAAAAAAACTTATTGAATTTATTTAGATCATTGTCGAGATATCTTCGATCGAAGTTTAACGGTTTTTACAAATTTGATAACTCAACAACTGCTTATGCAAATTCGAAGAATTTTCTTATTTTAATTCTAAAAAATCTCTAGAATTAAATAAAAAAACTTATTGAATTTATTTAGATCATTGTCGAGATATCTTCGATCGAAGTTTAACGGTTTTTACAAATTTTGGGCGAGATGTCTCGACAATTACTCAGGTAAATTCGATATATTTTTTTTGTTGGGTAGTTACAGGGTATCATTATTTAAGTTTTTAGAAAATTTAATTTTATAAAATTGATGCAAGTGCGTAAGACATATTGCAGTAATATACTCTGATCACGTGACTTAGGTAAGTACAAAATCACGTGAATGATCTGTGTCCGATGCTTTTATTGGCTGTCCCCAGTGACCGTGATGCAATTAGGAGAAAGATCAATTGCCCGGGTAATTTTATTTATACATTTAAATGGATCAAAAAGATTCGTCAGACGTATTCCATTACGTACGCATGTATGTACGTAAGCAGTTATACGATCATTTACAGTTATGTATAAATGAATGCTTCCAAATTTAAAACCTGAACTTAGAAATTTACCATGATCAACTGCTAGTTTTAGTTTGGCGACACTCAAATAGTGATAAAAACTCGTTGAACAATTCTGAAATAATGTCTTCTTATTTTGGTATATACCGATATCGATAGATTTATTATTATTTGTTTCTATTTTCACTCTTACGATTCTTATATATTCAATTCTTTCAAACGCAGATGAAAAAGGGTTGCCTGACCCAACATTTCAGAAAAAATCTACCTCACCCAACAATAACAATTTAAATCCAGACGTTTCCAATTTTTTTGGTACAAGTAGTTCCGGTTCGTCAAATAATTTAGGTGATGAAAGCGCATATGATACTTTAGAAGAATACATTAATTTGGCAAAGTACGAATATATATATATATATATTTTTCAAAGAAATGATATCTCTTTATTTACGCACAAATTGTCTTTTATAAGTCTTTTTGGTACACTAAGAGATAGATCAAATAGTAGAGCTAATGATAGTAATCAAGAATTCTTAGATAACTTGATTTCACAATTATTGGAAGAAGCCAATGCAAGGTAATAATCAACACTTACCATATCACATATTTATAAACTTATGTATGGTTAAATTAATATTAATTAATAGTTCAAGAGGACCCCCACCAGCTAGCAAAAAATTTATTCAAAGTCTACCTATCGTTAAGAAGTCGGAAATCAAGCACGGTATAAAACTATCCAAGTTCAATCATAATTGTTATTTAAATAAAAAAAATTTGCTGATTTATCATTTCTATTTTTTTTTTTTAAAAAAAAAAAGATGATACGTGCCCAATATGTGCAGAAAAATTTTTATCAAATACGACTCCAAATAATATTGTAACTTGTATGCCATGTAAACATATGTTTGATAAAGAATGTATTTTACCTTGGTTGAAACTTGTAAGTCATGCTTTTAACATACCTCATTCAATAAGTTTCACTTTCAATTTTTTTCAATTTTTTATTTAATGGATTTTTGTGAACGACTAAAAAAAGCATAATACGTGTCCAAGTTGTCGTCATGAAGTGGATTCCGATGATCCGGCTTGGAGAAAAAAGCAATTGGAGTTACAAAGAGCTCAAGACTCTGAAGAAGAAGATCAGGATTGGATGTACGGTTAACTTGTATGGGTCATTTAGCATTTATAAAAATACGATCTTGGAAATTTAGTTTACATATTTTAGTAAAAGTTATTTTTTATGTATTTTTTTTTGTTATTTTGTAGGCATTGTTGTACGCTTATTATAAAAATTACTCATAACTACTGTTTCATAGTTCTCGTTTGAAATAATATAATATAATGTTTTAATCACAGCTAACATTCTAGAAATCAATAATTATCTATGGTTCATATCAATCACTAAAACAAATTAGAAATTATTTTATTAGTGGAAATTTTTGCACTGTATTGTCAACTCTAAGTGCATCATAAGGTAATGGAACCCGTATTTAGAATAAAAATATATCAGTCAACCGATATGTCACATCTAAATTTTTGTATATATGCAAAACATATAGAATTACTTATAAACTTTGAAGCTATGATGTTTTTCCTTTACATATTAACTTTAAATTAAATTTTATAAATAAATTCATCAAAAAAAAGAGAATAAAATACTTTTTAAGCTAAATTAAAATTTTGTAATTTTGATATAATTTGAAAATATAACTGTCAAAAGAAAAAAATTAGTAGTTTTAAAGTAATAATTATATATAAAATTATACTTTAACAACTTTAGTTAGGGAGTAAAAAAGGTTATCTTAGTAAAAAAAAAAAAAAAGTTTGCTATGTACTAATATTAAAATTTTCAGGTTATCTATATAAAACCTTTTTCTACTAAGATAACCTGTTCTGACCTCTTAAACAAATTTGTTTAGCATATACTGTAATTCTATATATTTTGTATTTTGTTAGTTTTGTTTTTTCAAACTTTTTACTAAGTAAAAGATTGGATTAAAGGTTATATATAAGAAGGAATTTAATTTATAGTGCTATAGCACTATGGTGCTAGGGTATTGTAACCAATCTCCCCAATACTAAAGGAGTAATCTGTGTTACGGTCAATTCGTATCTTACTATTTTTTTTAGTAAGATATGAATTGTTTTTTAAATGCTATATGGGAACACGCGAAGCGGGTTCCCATGTACATAATTTACCCTGCGAAGCAGGGTAATTAAATATTGTA